CTTAAAAATGGTTCCCATCCTCTAAGGGGTGAATTTCAGCTTCTTCCCTCACGACAGAGGTTTCTATTTCCGAGATGCAGGACAAAGCGTTATAAAAATAGATTTGTCCCCGTTGCTGTCACTGAATTAAATAAGAACTGTTTTTGATTCGAAATATTAAAATTACTATATATGTGCCACAGTGAGGTTTATATCTTTACTAGGTATGTGTGTTTTTAAAGGGATGCCAAATGCTGTCATTTTTTCTGTAAAGCAAATTTACCTTGCCTATGGGTATAAATAAAGTTACCTTGACCTACCTTGACCTTTTCAGACCATTTTCCAGTGGTTGTGCAGCAATACCCCAGCAGATCAACAGTTTCTCAGATACACCATACCACATTCAAAGTCACTTCAAATTGATGTTCAGTTTTAACTTCAGCAAGTCGTCTTAGCCACATCTACAAGCCCAAATGCACTGAGCTTCTGCCATGTGACTAGTAGGTTAAACATTTGTGCAGCTGTGAGCAGCTGAACACGTGTACCTAACAAAGTGGCCAGTGAATGTATATTTATTATATTTTCCTGTTGATTTGATCATTTTAATAAATAGTTGATGATTGTTGCTGCTAATGTAGAGCTCAGCTTTTAAAGGTTTCCTTGTAACAATAGAGCCATGCCCTATCACGCTGACACTTTTATTTATATCATAAAACACTGATTAAGTATTTATAGCCTGATGCATTTTGCCCTTTTTTGTTCACTGTGACTGTCAATGAACTTTAGTACTTTTTGGACAGATGTTCTCATAAATGTTTCCCAGCTGTTGAAAGGGCACGGTCTGCCATTTCCTCTCTTGGATGGCTTTTAAAATGAAATATCTGCAGAAGTCGTAGAGCTTAGCAGCAATCAAAAACTGTTTATTGTTTATTCTTACTGTATGTGTACAGTACCGGTTAATTTAAAATCCCTTTGTTTACATTTGATTTAAATTAGGTCCAGTGCCAAAGTTGTTCTTATAGAGCACAGAAAAGACACACTGGGTATTTTGAAGTTGAGTAGCTTGCTTTCCCTTCCCTCTCCTTTATAACTTATACACCACTCTGCATGTTTAAAGTATTTTATCATTGGGCTTAAATACCCATAAACTAGGAGCTTTGCTGTTGTGACACACTTGTCACAATAAACTATCCATAAAAGGGAAAAGTTGCCCATGTCTCTTAATAGAGGTCAACCTTTATTAACATTTAGGTGTGTTGGTGTTAATGGTTACATTATTAATCAGCAATAAATCCAGTCTCGTACACATTTTGCTATGTTAGGAAACAAAACTTTGTCCCAAATATGTGATCTAATTTTTGCAGTATGGAAATAAACTGATAAATTCTAAACACGTGGGCCGCCTAATAGCCTTGCGAGCAGTCTGAGAACACAGCTGTAGGATGTATACAGCTCATAAACACTTCTGCAGAGTGTTGTTTTAAAAGCCAAGATTGGGTATCCCAGGCCTCACCAGTGGTGGGTCCTTTCCTGCTGCACTAGAAGCACTTTTCCTGGAAGAAAATAGAAGTGGGTATTTAACATAAGCAGCAGTAACCATTTGTCTACAAAAGGAGTCATCAAAACAAAGTATAAGACAACAGACAAATAGTTTCTGGCAAAACTTCACTTACTTCCAAGGTGCAGGAACTAAATAAAAGTCTGAAGAGGTATTTTTTTCTACTACAGAAACTAGAAAAATGCAGACAAAACCACAACAACAAAGCGAAGGTGCTGGGTTGAAAACAATAGGGGGGGAAATCAACAGCTCACACACTGCAGGGCACAAGCTTATTTATTGCACCATAAATAAAAGTGTAATATTTCGAGTATACCTATCGGTACGTCCTCCATTTCTCGCTTTGCATTTTAAAGCAACGGCAAGTAAATGTAATGTGTGAGCCGGCTGCTTCGGCTGCCTTTTGTGCTTCTGCTGTAATTTACAATGTCAGCAGCCACACCATAGCAATGTCACGAAAACTTAAATTTAGTGCTACTATTTATTACATTTACACAAAGAACTGAAGGTTAGAAAGTTTGATCACATCGCTCAACATCTTAAATAAACGAGGAACTCCCCCCCCCTTTGACATGATTTGCACATTTCAGTTTTGTGGCACTTCTGTTTCATGCGTCACAGGTGAAAGCACAGCAACAAAAGAAAAAAAACACCTGGTTATAGCTCCTCCGGCAAGCCCCCCTGTCTCCTCAGTCTTCTCACTGAGACTGAGATAGATTTCCAGGTCAGGGCAGAAGGACGGAGGAGATGAGGAGGCACAAAAGGAAAAAAAACACCAACTCAGATGAAATGCTAATCCTTTCTAGTCACATGGTTATTGTTTCTAATTTGAGCACGAGGATTGAGATGTAACCAAATCTGTCTCTACATCTTCAAACAGTTATGTCTGTCATTACAGTTAAAAAAAAAATTCTGTATACCAATAAAATTTTAAAAAGGGGGCGGGTTTCTTATAGTTTTTCTACCTTTTAAATAGTCTTCTGTAATATTTTTGTGAAGGTTACGAGCTGAAACGTATTTTTTGATCAATAAAACCGTTCTATATAAAGCGCGTGTTGCTGGATATTTTGACCTCTGAGGAGAAAAGCCTTCACAGGAGCCTGTTGACCACTCTTTGACTGACAGCTGATGTCTCGGCACCGCAGCGCAAAAACAGCAGAATGTCAGCTTAGGGCCAAAGATGTCACCCCTCACTGTAGCAAAAAAAATCTCACAGATGGGATTATCACTTCAAAAGCTTGCGTCTGATGAGTTGTTTTCAGGTTTGGTGATGGAGGCTTGTCAGATGCTGGGTTTGATGTAGCTTTGCAACGTGGAGCATAGCAGACAGGTGTGCTCTGCCCAGCAGCTGCTGGTTCAACAGTTTACTGTCCCTCCCACGTCCACAGCAGTGCTCTTCATTTTGTGAAGCGGCAGTCTTCATATTGTGCTGCACACAGAAGTGAACAGGAGCATTTCTTTTGGTTAAATAGGGCAAATCTACAACATTTCAATAAGAAGAGATGAGAAACCGAAGCCCCAATTTACGATTGAGCCAGATAACAGGAGTGTATTCTCACATGGTGCAGCTTAAACATAAATCTGTTATTTTCAGTGTCAGCAGTCCCTGAAGGGGGGATTATTGTTCCTCATGTCTGCCAAGAGACAAAATACAAATGTGGAGTTCATTTCCAAAGTGCTGTGTGTCTATTTTGGCTCGTCGTTGATCATTCATCATTCAATATCTCTACAATACAGTGGAAGAAACATGCAGCCCTTGTTTCAACCCACGACTGATTTTAAAGTATCTCAGTTTGAATTAATTTTATACTCTAAGTGTGGTGTGTGTTTCTCGCTAGTGGGATTTTTTTTCCGTTTGGGAAGGGAAAAAAAGCGCTCATCAGATGGCTGCTGGTCCCTGAGATGGAAAACACTGAGAAACGGTGCCCTAGATAACAAGTCAGTCCAGCCTCTTTTGCCAAACTGCAGGAGCACTGAAGTATCAAACAGCAATCAAAAGCACAGCCTGTTTTCTGTTCAGGGAGGTACTGTAGTGTGATTTGGGAGGAAATTCAAGGAGTTGCTTGTGCAAGACCCAGACTGGCATGGGAATCTAAGCAGGTTGCATCTCCACAGTCACAAATACACACACTTTCATGCACTGCAACCTTTGACCCACGTTCTGTTTCCCCCCACTGTTTGATAAGCTGCAGTTGTCAACTATGATCAAAACCAAGCCACCCTGCATCTCAAACTCGCGCCTTCCTTCTCACTAAACTCTTCAAAGCATCTTGACTATGATATATTTAAATATACATACATATTCTATATGCATCTCTGCAGCACACATCTCACCCAGATCATCCAGAGATAAACAGGTAAAGCGTCACTTCTGTGCTGCCAAAGAGAAAGATCAGATTTCTGCTGCAGACACCCACACTTAAGCTGCAATGCAGATATTTTTCTATAGCTTTTACAGTCAAAATGAGTCGAGGTTCAATAAGAGAGTGAAAATAAAACGAAAGTAATAGTAAACATTTAATGAAAGACAAAACACTGGAGTGAGGAGTGAAGTCTGGAGCTGAAGTTTGAGATATTACTGATCCTGTCTGCCTCAGCCTGAGGCAGGTCGAGGGCCCAGATAGCAAAAACATAGTAACCTTTTAGTCTCTTCACTCAAAATATACCAAAAGGGCCATCTGCCTGAGGATGTGATCCTGCACGTGGCCTTACAGGAAAAAAAAACAATTCGAGATTTGGCTCAAGGTCATAACTTGCAATACTGCACAGGTCATTTGGCAGTTACTTTAAAAAAATCCACATAACAGAGATGAGCTGCCAGATGGAAGTAGTTTCTCTGCACTGGTTTAATTTTTTGGACTGTGCATAAAGGATGGGGATGGTTTCCAGATCAAAGAAGTGCATCCAGCATTAAACCAGCATTACCTTTAATGGCCAGCAGGGGGCGCCTCTTGTGGTCGCGAAAAGTTCAATTTATCATAAAAGCACAAAAAATCTACTTTCTTGCCAAAAACGAATGATGTCATAGACTGTGACATCATTTACATTTGGTTAGACACTGAGATGGTAAAGGTAGCCCCAGGTCGTTCTCCAGAGTCATAAAATGCCATGGATGCAAATTACCACTTGACTGGTCAGCAGTAAATAAATGTAACCTTGTAATTCAGATTTTTATCTGTTAATCTGAATTTATTTTCACAGATGAAGAATGATGTAATGATGATATTACTCTGTGTGTTTAGGTAGTTTTCTAACTCTAAAATGTGCCAGAAATGTACATCAGAGAATAAAAACATAAGCAGTACAAGTTCATTGTTTTTTAAGGGAAGTGGGAATTATTTTTATTTTTGATGAATCATTGCTTGTTTTAATAATCTGTTAATTAAATGGAGTCTAAGGTGAATTCCTTTTAAAGTGAAGCAGTCACAGGAAAGCGACACGTGTTGTCTGTTCTTTGCTGCAGGTGAATGCTACCTGATGGAGTGGTCAGACTGGAGCTCGTGCGTCAACATCTGCGCCAAAGAGGCCGGCGTCGACTTTGCCTCGGTTCAGGTCCGCTCACGAGCCGTGCTCGCCCAGGAGCCTGAAAACCTGCTGCTCTGTCCTGACCAGGAGTGGGAGTCTCAGCCCTGCACAGGTGGAGAACACTTTGAAAAACATGACGGCTTCAACCTCTCCTGGCCAGAAAGTTTGACAAATTAACAGAAGCAAAGTCTATTTGAACAGTGAACTTTCTATGAATACAAATTAGCTTGCTGCAGCCCAGCAGCTCCAAACTTTGATGCATTTATTCCTTCTATTTATCCGCATATTCGTAATATTTACGGCGAGGGTAAACTGAAGTCAGTCTCGGGGTGTGAAAGGTTGAAGGCAGTGGAGAGCACGTCAGTGCATCAGAGGGTTAACGCACTTACTTTCAGAGTCATACCCGCAGGCTGTTTAGGCCTCTATCTCTCTGCATTTGGACTGTCAGAGGAAAGAAACCTACTGAACAACATGCTGACATTGTGGGAAAGACAGATCTGACACAGGAGTCGCATAGATTTTCCTCCCTGGGAGGCATCAGTGCTAACCAGTGGGCTGCTTCCCTATCATGCCCGATACACAATCGAGAAGAAAAAGATACTAACTGCTACTGTTTGTCTTTCCCGTTATGCCGGGTCAATTGGTGCTCTCCCAGATGGGATTTCTCGAGTCAGATTTTCAAACGTTTGAAACCCAGATGCTCGTTTACAGTAGTGATCTCTGCGATTCCCTCTGCTGCATTAATCACCCATTAGATGCAGCATTGTGAATCACTACGACAAAACTCAACACACAGTGTACTGTAATTCCCCCTTACCTCCCTTGTTACTGTACACAGCCCACAGCAGTCTTCGCTAGCATGACCTGGTTTCACAGCTTCACTCAAGGCATGGGGGGAGGAGTGGCCCAGCCAAGACTAGTGGAGGCGGAGGAGGATGAGAGAGTGGAGGCAGGGAAGGAGAAGGCGGTGATGGAGAAAGAGAGGCTGGGGATGGAGGGACGGGAAGGTTTGATGTGAGGCTCCAGGCTTGAGAAAAACAAAAACAACACTGTTGTTCTGCTGTTAAAGTCGTTCTGTTTTACAGTATAGTGATTCTTACTGTGCTTTGTGTCTCCAGTATACGCAGATTGACAGAATGGCCAGCACTTTTACTTCAATGCAATAATCACAATAATTTGAAGAACAAAAACAACAAAGCTGCTCATTGCTTTTCAGCAGCTCCAGAGACATAAAAGCAAAACCTTAATGAAACACTAGTCCCTCCATTTGTAGGCATTTAAATTTGAAATTTGCAACTTGAATCTGAATTTATAACAAGGTAAAAATCAGAGTTGGAGTTACATTTATTCTCCAGGAAACCAGAAACATGTGAGACTCATCGACACGTTCATTATGTTCAAAACTATTAGAAGGATTTTCTTCAGTAGATTTATTGATCACTCATCAAAGGTCATTCTCATCTCGCAAAATTCACTTTTGGCTGTAGCTCAAGAATTCATCATCTCATTAAGCTGGTAAAATTTTGCAATAAAGAGATCGTTTGTTCATTTTGGGCATGTTAGTTTAATAGGTGATTCTAAATTGGCTGCAATGCCAATGCCTGGCTTTATATCTCTGGTATTCTTAGTGTACCAGAGATAGAAAGTATCCGTATCCACGCTGGACCAGCGACCTGTCCAGAGTGCAACCTTCTTCCAAAGTCGCAGGGATGGACTCAGGCTCACTGTGATCCTAGCTGGATAAGTGGTTATGGATGGATAAATAGGCAACAATAATGTTGGGTGCTCACTGTGCACACTGTGGTGATATAGATTTGTTTTGTGCTGCCTGATTGAACACATATATAAGGGATTTTGTGGCCATTGCAGCTTATTTGCAGAAACATCCATATTTGCAACATTTTTCTGCTTAAGCATTCAAACATAAACATTTTTTATGTTTGTTAAATCCCACAAAGTCCTCATTACAAATTTAACTTTGGACAAGTTTAAAATCTCAGTAAGTAACTAGAGTACATAATGGGTTTAAGACACGTTAGACTTTATTTCAGTGCTATAGTGATTGGTTCAGTTTGTACATCAAAAACTGCTCAGGTCCATTAAGGGAACATTTGGGTTCAAATATCCTCACATGTGCCAAAGTTAATCCTGCACACCTAAATGTTATCTCATTATAAAATGTGTTATTTGCAAAGCTATAATTATATCACTAAAGATAAAAAAAAGTAACAAATTCTACCATTAGCAATAATTAGTGTAAAATATTCATCCATTTTTTTTTTGTTCTGCTTGTCCAATTCAGGGTAGCAGAGGTGTGCAGGAGCCTATCATTTCATTATTAGAAGTAAAAAAAAAAAAAAAAAAAAAAAAAAAAGGTTTTATGAACACGAAAATCCATTTATTAAAAATGAATGGTGGTTTAAAAGTGTTACTAGATTTTATACGGCCCACAACCAGCAAGCTTGAAAGATGGTTTTGTGGTTAAGACATTTGCACTGCACACCAAAGAGCCTGATTCAAGAGTGGGAGGAGACTACAAACCCAGTTTCAGGATGTCACAAGAAGGTACTCCAAGTGATGTCCCCAACCCTGAATAAGTGGGAGGGTGTAAATCTGTGCCAAATCAAATATGTGGATCTATCTGCTTTAGTGACCTGCTGGGAATTAAGGGAGCAGCCGAAAGCACGCCCCAGCAAACCTGAATGACATTAACTTCCCCTCTTATTAGTGACCATGGTGCCGTGATTTTGCCAGGTACAGACAGCACCTCGCTTAGCGGCTTAGCAGCCACTGTAGAGTGAATGTGTGCAATTGGCACAGTTTGATATGAAAGTGATTGAAAATGCAGTCAGTTTAAAAAGCTTGAATATAATTACTCTTCTTTTCAGTTAATATGGCTGAAAATCATCCATCGCCTTTCTCAGTTCTTACAGATATTCTCATATCTGGGACTACTACTGACATTATTTCTGCCTCCAGAAAAAAAGGAGAAAAAAAAAACTTCTGCGCTTCTCCTGAGAAATGTTTCTGTGGTAGTACAACTCCAGTCTGCTCATAAAAGATGGTGGGAAGTGCCAGCCGAAGTGAGTGATTCAATGATAACTTAACACGTTTGAAAAACGACTTCAGCTCTAGCGGAGCAAGGAAGAAAGAGAGAAATGAGAAGAGTAAAGTACATAAAAGGTGAAGTCCTCTCAGCCGCAGAGGATTCATCCCGTACGGCGGCAGATAGAGGCGTACCACTGACGGGAGCAGCGATACTGTACCCACGTCTGTGGAGAATAGCTCTGTCTTTTGTTCAAGGTTAAATTGTTCATTTACTCTGGCTGAATTGGCTGGACTGATGATTGGTTACACAGGACTCCGCAGGGAAATACAGTCATTTACTGCACTGATGGAGATATTGATAAAGTCATAATAGCACTGATAAAAAGTCATTAAGCAAAAGCTCTTACTGAAGATTAAAACATTGAACTGGACCCTTTTGAGACGACACGGTCATATTATGTGTCAGCAGCCTATTATACAACCACAACTTAGCAGCTGCTTTATTAATCTGGTGTCTCTCATATGATTAATGGTCACCACTGCCTGACTCAGTACAGCCTTCACAGTTGTTGACTGTTTTTGTGTTTTGCTTTCAGGAGGTGAATGTTTCGAGTACAAATGGTTCAGCAGCATTGGCCCAAATTCCACTCGGCCTTTGATCTGGTGTCAGCGCTCAGATGGACTCAATGTCACTGGTAAGGAACTCCAAAAAAAGCTGCTCCAAACATTTGTTTCACACAGTTGCTTCTGCTGTCTGTGAGCACAGCAGCAATGACCCCCACCCGCTGTTTGAACCCCATTTTTTAAAGAGGGCAGACAATCAGAAGAAAGCTGACTGAGGGAGAGGAGCGAAAACAGCTTGTTTTAGAAATAACTTAAAAAGTAAAAAGAAAATAACAAACCGCACAGATTAGCTGAGCTGGTGGGCTTTGGAGGACTGTTTAGGAGTTGCAACCTCAAAAGTGTGCTCACCTTTGGATTAAATGAGAACATTAAAGGTTTGATTTTTGCTTAAGATCAAAGAAAAAAAAAAGAGCGAATGCAAAATTCAAATGGCCAAAATAATACAAAGGTTTGTTTTGTTTTAGCAGAAGATTTGACATTTCTGATGAGCAGACCGATCACATGATTGACCTCATTCAACAAGCTCAGTTATGCTAGGACTGAGGTGGAGGAATTTTGAAACATTAGTAAATATTAGTATTTTTTTATTAAGTACGAGCATTAAATCGTTCACTGAGGTAGACGAGGCTGCTGAGGTTGTTAGTCTCAACAGAGAAGCACATCTGTGTATCATCAGCGTAGCAGTGACAAGTAGATGGCTTTGAAGCTCTTTGAAGCAGTATGGGAGAAATAAGCATTATTATGACCATTATACAGACAGTCTTGTAAAAAAAATGTTCTAGTATAAAATAAAAATATGGATGGATGGGGGGGGAAAAGCATAATTGCTCTACTTTGAGTCTGGAGGTCTGCAGCAGAGTTGCTGAAGGTTCAATTGCTTCTTTTTTTTTTTTGTCAATTTTTTTAACCATTTGACTTTAGTTTTTGGAGTCTCTGCAACTAATGATCACATTTATAATTATTTGTTCTGATGATTTTATTATCAAGTGTTTTTTTTATCCCAAAAAACCTAAAAAATAAAATAAAATAAAAAAACTAACTGCAACTTCTCAATGCCCATGTTGTTATATTTACATTTTTTGATTATAACTTCCTGGATGTGTTCTTATTAAATGACACAACTGATTAGAATTGTTTCAACTTCACATCTATAAATAAAATGAAAAAAAAAAAAACATTAAAATTACATTATGTTTGAGCTTAAGAAATCAAACTGTTGTCAAGGACTTGCAAGTACGCTTTAGTCGTCTTTAAAGGGGTCTCGAGCTAGAAGAGATCAGAAAACACTGTCCTACAGTAGTGTGCATAATAAATAGAGCAGCTGAATTTTTCTTTAAAGTGAGAAACTGGAGGTTGCAGCCGCTCTTAAGCTCAACTGTAAGCCTAAACCATTGGTGGCAATTTTATGTAGGAGGTAAAATTTACACAAAATGTCAGAAATATAACTGAAGAAAAAAAAAAAAAAACTAGGCGCTTATTTCTATATTGATCTAAGGTGGTGGGCGATGGCAAGCCGGTACAGCTTTTCATCTCCGTTTAACACATCAACACATAAAATTGTTTTTAAAATAAACCTGGAAACATTGGATTTACTGAGTTATTATTGCAGATGAAAGTACATGCTGTGAAATAACCCCAAGTGTTACGTTTTAAACGTGGAGACGAACCGATTGTGCTCGTTTGATCGTATTAAAATGTACTCAATCTGATGCTGTTGTCTCTTTCACAGGAGGTTGTCCTCCAATGAACCCTCCAGAGGACAACAGCTCCTGTGACCCGCCCTGCCTCATGCCAAAGTCTTTCTGTAGCGAGGTGAGTAGATTTTGTCCTCATATCACAATAAACTCAAAAATAAAAGAGCAATTTTCCTAAACCCTAAAGCACAGCTTTCCTGGATGAATGTCTGTGCAAACACTGACACACTGAATTGAATTTGAATGCAGCAGGGAATAAAATGATAGCAGCAGGAAGATGTAAAACCCATTGCTCCACAGTGTCATTCAACTGCACTTCATCAAAATCATGTAAATAAGTTTTTGTCTCACAGACACGGCAGCTGGCAAACCACAGAGTGATCTATTTTCCAGGCTTGAATAGCTTTTAGAAACAACTCTTGACCTAGCAATGAAGGCAGGTTACCAGCTGTAGTAGCTCGTACAGCCAGCCACCTTACGTAACCGCTGAATAATCGGGTCAAAACGATCGGATGAGAAGCAGGGTCAGGACTTCTGAGGTCACCCATTCAATCCCCAGACGAGGATGAAAAAACTGCACTCACACAGTTTATTAGGTACACTCAGCTAAAACCTAATGCAGTGTAAGACAACAGTCGTACAGTAAATCCTCTCTTCATCGTGGTAGTAATGTTCAGTTTTGCAGACAGGTGTTTATGGTCACTCTGAAGGTTTGTTGTGCTGTGGGATTGGATTACATAACACTGATGGGTGTTTCATATATTTTTGTAACCCTGTTAATATGAGCGAGGGCATACTAAATACCAAAAACACCTCTGTGTGTGGAGAAGGCAGTTCAGTGGTGTCACAAACTGCAGCGTCCAAGACGACGATGAAATTACACCTCGACAAAATATCTGACTAGCCAAGTGAAAGACTGTGTTCACACTAGGCTTGGTTGCATTGCACCCCGTCCCCACTTTCCTGCTGGCCTGCGCTCACACTGTGCTTAACGATCCGAGTCCTGAGTACACTTCAGTCTGTCTAAGCATCTCAAACTTTGATTTTTATGTGGCCACACTGGAGCTGCTCTGGAATTGGTGAGAAACTGTCCTCTCACATACATTATTACTTAAGGCGAATTTCACAGAGCCAGCAGTTGTTGAGAAATCATCGGACTTCCACACTTGGCTGACCACACTAGGTGTGCAAGTGTCTGACCTCACTGTGACCTGGCCCACCTCTTCAAATCGGCTAGGCTAAAGTACCGTACGCACCAGTTACGGGGGCGACCGTGGTCCAGGGGGTTGAAGCTCGGTTACAGGTTGCCGGTTCGATCCCCAGCTCTCTCTGTCCTGGTCGTTGTGTCCTTGGGCAAGACACTTTACCCTACCGCCTGTTGGCCAGAGGGGCCGATGGCACGACATGGCAGCCTCGCTTCTATCAGTCTGCACCAGGGCAGCTGTGGCTACAACTGTAGCTTCCCTCCACCAGTGTGTGAATGCGAGAGTGAATGAATAACGGAATTGTAAAGTGCTTTGGGTGCCTAGAAAAGCGCTATATAAATGCAATCCATTATTAGTTACACCAGTCAAATAAACTGGACTTTGAGGGTCAAACATAGTCAAGCGTTACCCAGTTTGGCACCATAAATATCAGAAAACAGTCCAGTTTAAGCAAAATCTAATGGCAGTTAAACTTTGTCTGTACACAAATCACATGTATATTTAAGAGGAATTAATCACAGCTTATTTCAAATGCCACTGTGCATAACACTGCACATGCATGACGTTAGCTACTCCTGGCAACGTAACCTAACATTAGCAGTGACGACAGCAGCCTTCTTTCCTTCCGCACATCTATGCACAATGCATCTATGCATTGCCAGTTTAGTCAGCACAGCTCATATACAAGTGCTCATTTTTGACATTATAATACCATAGAGCTCTGCAGGTATTCTCTTTCTCTACTTTGTGTGCATTAATAAAAAACACGAATAATTACAGTAGATTAACAGAGTAGTATTTCTGTTGCTGACAAGTGAGGGCAGCAACATTTAATTGTCTAGTTGGCGAATCATCCACATCCACAGTACAAGTTTAAATCTTGTTAATAAGTTGGTGACAGCTGGAGAAATCAGTTAGGAGCCCTCGCTATTTACCACATTTAAAATACCTTTGAGCAAGGCATTAAAATAGGTTTTATTGAACCTTCTGACATTTTGAATTAAATATTAATTTGCATATGAGATTCTTAATTGTTGTCATATTTGCTACATCTGGCTTTTTATAAATTATTGCTTAAAAATGAATTGTGCAATTTATTGAGGTTTTTCAGGGGAGGGGGATTAGCACTGATGATGTAGAAGTTCTCAAAAAGTAATGCATCAAATATGACACACTTTGATTTAAGGGGTTAATGCCCAACCTGAGGTCATACTTGTGACTGTAACTGTTTCGGTGAACATACAGCAGGTGACTCTGGGTGCAAAGCAATGCTTAAATGGCCCTCCATCTGCAGCACAGACTATTATTGTTCCTGCTGAACTGGAAACAGGCATTAGCAGAAAATACGGTATATGGGAATGAGGCTACAGCAGGTCACAAACAGCTCTGAAATGGTTCGATTTGTCTGGAAGCTTGTGCTTTTATCTTGATTGACTGTAAATGAATGAGAAATGTCAACACGTGGTGGCCTCAGTGCAGCAGTTAAACCTGTCTTCGAACAGTAACAGGTCGGCCATGCTGCCATACCAGCCAGGACTCTTCTGAACACTCCTCATGAATTAATTCACTTTGAGATTAGCTTGTTTAACATCCCTCCAAGCACTGTACTGTCGCTCCAGCTTAAATCATATATGAATCTCCGCTGCCCCCTGCAGGCTGGTATTTGCATGTGCGAGGAAGGCTTCACAGAAGTGCTGTCATCCACTGGGCAGCTGGACCAGTGTGCCCCCATCCCCATCCTGGAGATCCCCACAGCAGGGGACAAGAAAGGGGATGTGAAGACCAGTCGTGCCATTAACCCCACACTGCCCACCACCATCCAGCCCGGACGCAACGGGCGAACTTGGTACCTGCAGCCCTATGGACCAGGTCAGACCATCACACACTCATCACACCTTATGCAGATTCATAGCACTGTTTACCAAACTACAGGTTATCGTCAGTGTTAACAAACATCACAAATGCAAGGAGAATACAATTGTTTTGCTGCTGTCAAGTGAAAACCTTTAAAAGACCTCTCCAATGCTCATTTGCACCTCTATACTGTATTTCTTGGACTCTACTAGAGTAATTTTGTATGTTTCACAGGTCAAAATGATCCGTATTTATCTTATACATGGCCTCTGTCTAGCCCCTCAGTTCATCCGCCATCTTAAAACAACCTTTTTGGTTCCTGTTTTTAGGCCACCTGCACTTTCAGCCAGTTTTCCTCTGATTTGACGGCTTCTCACAAACAGCAGATGTATGAGGCTGCTGTGCTAACAGCCAGAGCTGGTTTTAAAAATAAAAACTCACCCCATCTTTGACATGCAGTGATATGACAGAAAATAAGAAAAACCATAACAGCACCCCCATTTAATCTTTAAAATGCCATGCGTTGGGGAACTACTTAAAGTGCTGCTTTACAAGCTTTTCTTTCTATAGAAAAATGAATGTAGGCACAACTATTGCATCCTTTCCAAAGCAAGCCTTTGCTTACAGTGATGGTAAACATGTATCTGTAAAGTAAAGAATGTGCAGAGAATAATAAAAACTCCTCCATTTCAAGTTTCTGTTAGTGTGGCTGAAGGGAAAAGATTTCCGAGTCCAGCGTCTGACTTTTTCCAACCTACAGAGCTCCACATAATCCTTGAAGTGAAGTTAAGACATAAAGCTGAGAGGTTTTCACATGACAACAGCAGGACGTGCTTTACTTTCAGTGTGTTTGGGCGGATTTAGTGTTGACAGTGCTGAATTAATGTTAGCTTGTACTTGCAGCTCTGTATGAAATAAAACCAACATGTAATATCACACGAGTCCTTTTGGATGCACTGATGAAGCTTTCCTACCTGCTCTTGACTTCCGCTACATTAACGTTTGAGAGCGGCGTCTGCACGGAGTGTTGTGACTGATGATGCATGCGAGAACCATTTAGGATGCGAGAGCACAGAACAGATTGAGTTAAAGTGTCTCAGGAGCAAACACTTCCACATCCACAAACCATCACTTACAGTAACCTTTGCATTGTTTATCTTCCATATGCTTGCTTGTTTTGCAATACAATGCTTGCTGTTATACTTCACTACAGTAAGATATAAATAAAGATGCAACTAGATTATATAGCTTGTGATTTGCACTGTGATCAGGTCAACTTTGGGAACAAGAGAAAAGCAATTGGGCATGTTTAAGAAATCGACACTTCAATATTTTTTTGCAAGTGCCGCATACTTACTGAGTACACACAGAGTACTTACAGGGTACTAATTGCATAAACATTGCATAAACACGACTAAGCTGGAAAAAGAAAAAAAGATGATGGGTGCGTGTTTGACAGTTATAATGCCCCACTGCGTCACTGATTTGTCCTGTATGTGCCAGCTTCGGTTTTCTGGTCTGACGTCAGAGTTGTGCTCGTCTAAGGAGCTTGGAAAGAAAACGACTGGGGTTCTTTAAGTTTTAACAAAACGTAATCTGACAAAATATCTATTATTCTAAATTAAATGACTAAATTGGCTAAAAATATCTTCTTACAGTGCTGAGATTTATTTTGGCTCCAGCTCTGTTTGAGACATGGTCTCTATAAAGGAAAAATTCAGATTTCATTTAATATTTCAGTCTATTTGAGTCTATTTCTACCCCCTGCAGAGTTAATAAATTATCACTCCATTATTTCTGACACATTCTACTAATTATAAAAAAAATAAGAGACAACATGTTTACATGACTGCGAGTGACAGTAGTTTGGGAAATGGACACTAGTACACTTTGCAGTCTGTAAGCAATGATCACAGATCACTTGTGTGAAGTCAGCCCCTGGCCCATTTAACCGTCAGGCTCTGGCTCCTCGCTGCCCATCTGACAAAAGCTGCTGCACCCTGAGAAAATACACAGAGCACCATTTATGGATAACAACATGCTCCGCTGGTTTCTCATTCCCGGTATTTTTTGCCTTGTTTTCTTCCACTATGCCCCCAGATAAGTACCTGGCTCTCAGGATATTACACTGTAAACCACAAGCTATGTGATTTATTTATTTATTGATATTAGAGGGATGCACTGATCCAATACTTGAATCGGATGTTATATCAGTCCAATCCTAATTCACAAAGCAGGATCAGGTATTGTTGACAGTGGGTCAGTCTGTTCAATAATTCTATGTTTGTCTGCGATTACTACACCACACATCAGCAGCTGTTAACAGGAGAGCTACAACAGTAACAGCAAAGCATCACCAGTTTAGACATATTTCACCTCAAACTGTGGTTGAGTGATTTGACACGACTGAAAAGCTCCAACATCGACAGTGCTTTCTGTATTACCTTCTCATTGGCAGCCTTTTATTATTAATAAAATAATCTAACACAGTGTGGTAAAGCAGATTATTATTATTTCACTTGTTAAGGAGGAAAGGCTGAGAAGGTTTGGACATGTGCAGAGGAGGGATAGTTGATATACTGGACAAAAGATTTTGAAGATAGAGCTGCCAGGCAGGAGGAGAAAAGGAAGAACATAGAGAAGATTCATGGATGTAGTGTGAGAGGAGACGCAGGGCTGCTGTGACAGAAAAGGATGCGAAGGAGAGGGTGAGATGGAGACAGATGATCCGCTGTGGAGACCTCTAAAGGAAACAGCAAAAAGAAGTAGTAGTTGTCAGCTTTACTCCACTCAGGATGCTCATGTTTGTATGAGAGGTGATGCACTCACATCAGAGCTGGAAAGCAGAAGATGGTGCAGCTGTAAATCACAGCAATATACAGTAATGACTCTCACAGTGAGCTGAAGGGAGACTAGTGCATGATGAATAAAAATATATTATTTTATTTAGGCTATTAAATTTAATTAAATTTCCTTACGCATAAAAGAATGAGTCCAAGTCTCTTCCTTAGAGTGAGGAATATAGCTTATTAATTTGTCACAGGATCAATACAGTTTTGGCAGATACTCTGAGCCAGTGTCTCTCTATCATATTGGAACTGGAAAAAGTTGGATCAGTGTGTCCCTAACTGTTATAAAGTACTGCAGAAATCTTCACAGAGTCCTTTTAATGGCTTCTGGTTCCATGTCAAAGTGTAAACAGACAAACTGACGAGCTTCCTCCTCCACAGATGGGAAGCTGAAGATGTGGGTGTATGGTGTAGCAGCTGGAGCCTTTGTGCTCCTCATATTCATAGTGTCTATGATATACCTAGCTTGGTGAGTTGATGAGTTTAATCTCCCCTATAATCATCCTCCTCATCCTCATTCATGAAACTATTAACATTTTTTACCCCCCACCCACTCTGAGTTCAAGCGTCCCCTCCCTCACATCATTCCTGTTTTTGGTTTTGGATTTTTTTTGTCTTTACTTATTTTGCTTGCTTCATGCCCTTCCCATGTGAGAGCAGCAGCTACTGTGCTAAGGTGCATCGCTCACTTAAGGCCCAAGAGTCTGATGCCAATGGGACGGCAGTGTGGATGGGCCAAAATGCACACGAGATGACTTACACCTGCCCTGATTGCCAAGACCTAGCTCAAAGCAGCAGCAGCTAAAGAGGATGTGGAGGGTTCACTCCCACCCCGACACACCCTTCAGTATAAGTACCTGCAAGTCCCTGAGCTTTCCCTGTGACCTTTGTCAAGTTGTCACATGTCCTGCCTGACTGGCTCAGTGAAGGTGCTGGTCCAGGTGAGGGCAAACCACCCAGAATATGTTTCTCTCAGTTCTCGTAGAGATCTTTTAGCGCTCTTAGACACACTGATGTTAAGTCACCCTGACCTTTTCTCTACCCACTGCCTTATTTTAATTATAATCACGCACTCCAAGTAAATCTACACACATCACAAAGCCAATTTATAATTACAGCTGATTGCAAACCATAGTGTTTCTCTAAAAGATATATGACAGAGCCCCCGTGATGTCAACCATTTGTTTAGGACAAGAAAGAGTCCACGAAACATTGGTGTTTAAAGACAGGTTACCCTGTTGTATGCTGTAAAGTAAGCTTACTATCGCTATATGACATCACTTTTTTAGTAACAAAGAATGTAACATCTGTAACAACATGATGACTTCCTGTTAAATGATGACGTTTATACTTATCAGGTCCAGCTAATCACAAATAGCGAGGAGATATTAAACATGAATCCCAGAAGACAGCTCGAGAGTAAAGAGGTTGAATAAGAACTTGAAACCACTTCTGTGTCTGTACACTCAACAAAAAGTAAGAGCCAGGAGGCGGTCAGCTTACACTGAAAAACTGCAGAGAAAAGGTCAGCTCTGGCCAAAGTTCAAAAGTACAGCTACCACCCACAGACTTGGTGTAGACGGACGTAGCTTGTAGGTCAAAAGAGTGAAGTGATGGTGTAAGTGCCTTAAGCCTGCGTTCTTTTTTAACAGCTAGCAGGATTAACTCCTCTGATTGTACAAAGAGACAAACTGAAACTTTCTGGGAGAAAAACCTTTCGCTCTGTTCTTATATGACCTTGGAAAACACTCGTTTTTTGTTCTAAGGCTCCAGATTCAAGTCTTAGTGAATACAATACGATGCTTATTTTGGAAAGTCAAAAATAAAGTTTTAAAACACCAAGATGGCAACATTAAAAACACTCAGCTCAACTGTTCCCATCAGGATTTCAATAAAGAAGAAAGGTACAGCGGCTACATTCACGCAACGTAAGCCACGATTGTTACAATCACCATTGTTACAAAACTAAACTGAAAGTAGTCATGAAAAACATTTTACTCAGCTTAAATAAATAATAACATCTGCATTAATGCTATTTTTATGAGACTGGGATGTCCATATGGCTGTATTGTGCTTTTCTGAACTCCTTTTAAATCTGACCCAGACAATAAAGTTACATTATATACCCATGCATTATAGCTCATATTTTAAAAAACCAAAATAAGGGCTCAAAAAGTAAAAAAAAAACAAAACCCAACTTCAAATAAAGACATGGACAAAAATAATGATAATTTTCTTAATACACAGTTAGGTTTAAATCAATAACTGTTTCATAAGCTTGTTACATGTTTGTATGAAAAACTGAACAGTTCAACTAGTAAAAATATTTGATTCCTCACAGAAATACAGGAAATTAGAAATGCTAGAGTCTCTGCACTGCTGAATAAATGCAGTTATTTTACAGCTTATTTGTTTTAGGTTATCAAACAAAGTTATCCATGAATATCATAAACTCAACTTAGAGAGATTGTGTTAATCACAAAACTGTGATGTATTAAAAAAAAAAAACCTTTTTATGTGTGAATACTTGTTAGCAGAGCGGAAAAAAGGTAAAAAGAAAAAAGTTACACTTCAAATGTTTAAAAAATGACATTAAAAATAACATTGCTACAGTGGACATGTTCTTCACCATCATATACTTTCATCATACTTCTCAGAGCTCGTGTAAAATTATTTTTCTCTCATTTAATTTTTTTTAAACGAGGGTTAATACTAATGTGTGGGAATAATCGTCTTGTTTAAACTCCAAGCAGAATATGAGCAGACTGAGATGACATTAAAGAGACATTTAAGTATTAACTCCAGGCAAGGTTTAAATCAGGTTTAGATCTCCACGAGGATGAAGTGCTTTAATAAAACGATGTCACGCTGCCCTCTTGTGGACAAAGATGGAACCATAGCAACACATGCCCTTTATTTCCTTCCCAATCAATATTGTTACAAGATAAACACTCTTTGTTCCTCTGTGTTCCTTTACTTTAAAAGACCATAATCTATAAAGTAGGATAAGAAGATAAGAAGTTCAAATAGCAATCAGTATTTTGTTAAATAAATTTAATATCAACCTTTGGTGCTTTTCTTTGGCTTATATACTCTGCTTCGATTTGGCCTAAAACACGCTCTGTGTCACTTTTAACATCAGGAAATTTTAATGACCATTTTTTTAACCTTATTTAATTTCTTCTTTTATTTTAAATAATCGTTTAACTGAAAAAGATTCTTTGTTATTAAGAACAAACACAGCTACAGCTGTAGTGTGATCACGCATCACTACAGATGAGGTGTTTGATGAACACGTTTTTGCTGCTTGCTTGAACGTTTGCTGTCGTTTACTCTGCAGCGATTTTATCAGCTCTTCATCAGAAAAACTATTCACAGGAAATTCCCTAGAGTGTTCCTCTGATTGTGCTCACCAAATCCAGTGCTTCAAAAAGCATTTCGGTACATTTCTCGTACTCTGGCTGTGGGAGGAAATATTAATTAGACTTTTTTTTTTTCTAGTTAAAACTAGATAAAAAAAAAAATCTTAACAATAGAAGTTAAATGATATAATACACAGCAGAACTAAATATTGGCTTTAATGATTTCAAAAGCCGTTCTCTATGGGATATCAGATGCTTCTGAAAATGTCTAATATTACACACCTCATTACTTTGACACACCCTGATGTTTAAGCAGCACTGAGAGCTCAGAGAAAAGCTTTGTGTCTTTGCTTCATCTAGAAGATTTTTTCCTCTCTGGTAGAAGAGGTCGGGCATGTGATCGTCTCTCTGCATATTAACTCACTAATAGCTCTTCATCCTTTTAAACTGAGATGTATGAGTCTCATTTCTCACAAAAACAAACAAACAAAAAAAAAACTGTTTGTTTAAAACCTGTTAACCAGTACAGTGACTGTAGTCTGGGCTCTACAGCTTTTTAGTTTTTAAGGTAACCTGATTTGTAGTTTTTTTATTTTGTTAGGTTTTTTGTAGCTGTCAGATTTTGAATCCCATGAAATTTCAGAACCAATGATGACATGGTTGAAATACAGAAGCCTAAAATAAGGTGCAATCAAATACTGAGTGAGTAGAACCATATTATATAAATAAAACCATACCTGATTTAAACTCTGGACCATTTTTAAATCATCATCGGCCAGTCCTGTTTTGACAACTTAAATTGCTCTTCTGCGATTTCTCACTAGCTTTTTTCAAACTGACCTAAATTTCATTTCAAGGATCATCAGTAGTAATCTGATCCTGGTATCCAGACATGACCCAGAGTGTCACATTATTACCCCCCCAAAAAAAAAAGCATTCAAGCATTCAAGCAAACCACCTGAGCCGTGATACATGCTATCCTGGGCCAGCATACTGAGTATTTTAGCCACAAACATTCACCAACTGCTTTAATCTTATGATTTGGCTCCCGGCCACTCAGTGCTCTTTCTCCAAAAATTAAGGAAATCACAACACTAGCAGAGGTAGCTCAGCAGGTTGAACGGCTCATCTGCCAGATGAGCTGTTCTACCAAAAAGATCAGGCTACTCCATTGGGTGAATGAGGCTTGTAGTAAAATGTGATTTGAGTGCCCAGTTTAATGGTCAGAGTGGGACATCCAGGGAGTCATCAAAACAAGGCATGGCCGTTCCCAAGGAAATTGTCTATATGGGTAAATTAGCCACATTTAATCAGGTATGGGTCCTTTTTTCTTTATTGATTGTGTTGCAGAACTTTTGTCATTACTTATGCCAGATGTCACCATGATTGTCTAAAAAAAAAAAAAAAAAAAAAGCACACACACAGTTTATGATGTGATGTAATATCTGCATCCTTTTTTAAGGTCAAAAACAGAAGTGAAGAACTACTTTTGAACAATTGCTAATGTTTTTATTAAGACTTAAATAATAATTTAATGGTTTTTAGGAAGTCTCGTTGGTTTTGTCATTTTCATGGGATTCAGAACAAAAGAGATCAAGGCTATCGTTACATTAAGTATTGATAATTTATTTGTGGACTAGAGATACTTGAGAAGGTTCACTATCAGCTTAAAACTGGGAACAGGTATTTTTTAGATTATCAAAAAAACCCTGAAACTACAAATCAAAATTAGGAAGCAAAACACAATTCATATGGACATCTTTTGCATTTTTCAAAACACTTTCCCTCCCCTGTTTGTGACATCGCCTCACCTGCATTGTGTGTCTCATAACTGCCATCGCATTTACCCAAACACTTCATGATTAGAGTGAAAGCAGAGTTGTGTTTGGAGAATCTTTCAAGTGCCACTCTGACCCCGTTTTCATCTTTCCATACAGCAAAAAGCCAAAGAGACCTCAGAGACAGAGACAGCAGAATAACCGACTAAAACCTCTGACTCTCGCCTACGACGGGGACACGGACATGTAGTCCTCCACGAGCTGCTTCACCCAGCACTTCACCTGTCACAGAGACCCACTTCATCACGCCATTACAGTGAGCGACATGGATGTTTGCAGCGTGAATGGACACGTCACGGAGCGCAGAAATGACGGGAAATCCTCTTAGCAGAGACACTGGTGGGGTTTAACCATTTCAAGTAGAGCTTCATTCACTCCTCTTTTGTTTTCTCGACTATTTTCTTTTTGCAGAGCTTTTATGACCTCCAGCGTGTTCAAGGAAATGCCTTTTTTTTTTGCCCCCTACACACCAGTATTTCTATATTGAAAGACTTGTTTGAGACACTGGAAATGCTGGGCGCAGAAGACAGAACCAGCCCTCCTGCTGTCTTTGAACATGGTAGCGCAGGCTCCAGCTCTTCCCCCGCGCTTTTTCTGCTTGTCCCTAAAAATGCTGAGTAGCTGGGGGCTTAGGATGCTCTGACGCTTCGCACGTTGCCAAAAGTCACCGCAGGGAAGAGGAGGAGGGAGAGGAAAATCTCCATAAAAAGGTTTGGATTCCTTTTTCTCAATCCTCAACTGGGTTTTGACTCAAATCTCTTTTACGGTCTTGAACAAAAGGGAGGCATTACTTCTCCCTCTTTTTTTTCGGCTTGATTCAGAGGCACACAGGCCTGTGTTTGTGGGATAAACCGATCTGTATGATGCTGATGGAGGAGTAGCCTGCAATCAGTTGTTCATGGAAACTACTGCCTGCCTGCCTGCTTGCCTCCACCCTTGCTTTGTTTCAGGCACTACATTGCACTATATTAGTGCAGCATGATATGCACATGTGACTTCTACTTTCTATTGCCATAAAACACTGCCTCTTCCACAGACAAAAAAACAAAAACATAAAGCAGAGGAACAGCTTCAGTCAACACGAGAACATTACAAGGGAAGCAACAGCGACAGGAAGGGACGTTTAGACGTGTCACGTTCGATAAAACAGGTGTGAATCTCAAGTAAATATATGTATAGATTTTATTTCTCACAAACATCGGACTTTTTGGTTGTAGTAAAGTCGCTTTTGTGGTTTGTAGATTTCGTCTGGTGTCATCACTTTATTTCTGCCCAGATGCAACTACGATATCAGCAGGTATTAACTGATCGCCTGCTTTACAAGTTCTTTTTTAAATACTTTTTTTTAACTCTTTACATACAACAGATCATGTGCAAACACTCAAATTTTGCAGTAAGTAATAAAAAAATGGACACTGCAAAATTTTAATCATTCATGTCATGCAAATGTCGTTTCTGCCTTACTGACGATAACTGAATACTAACAGTCCTCTAATACAGTTTAATACTTGAATGGGGCAAACGTCGACACTACAGTATGTTTAGACAAAAAAAAAAAAAAAAAAACAACGAAATTTTCTTTCGAGGTTAGGTAGATGGATCGAACCAGTTTTTAAACTTTTTCATGTAGTAAGTATTTTAGGTGCTCTATTGTTTTCAGTCACACGAAACGAAGATGAAATATTAAAAAGAAAACAATCTGTACAAACAAGTATACAATATGTTAATAATAAGAGAACACGCTTCTGAGTTCAACGTAAAAGCAAAACTGGTGTGGAGAATGTTTACTTCTTTTTGTTGGATTTGTAAATAACAGCAATTTTTTTATTTTTTGGAGAAAAAAACATCAAAGTATGTGTACATTTATTTTGTATTGCACAGAAAACGTTTAGTTTGAATATTACAAAGTGGGTGTATGATATTGCTGATTGTTGTTACCATGATGCAAGTTGTATGTTGTGACAAACAAAAAAGGAAAGCAAAAAGAAGCGGAAAAAGATGAAGAGTCGGCCATTTTGTACAGGTTGTTTATATGTATGGGAAGAAATACTAAAAATAAATGCGGACACGGTTGTAAACACACAAAGAGAAAAGTTATGGAGTCTTTTTTTTATTACTTTCTTTATATGTTCATTAAGGAAGAAAACCTTCAAATAAAAATACTTAAAACTGGCGTTAAAGGAGTTGGAGGCTGGATTTTGTATTAGAGAGCCATCATCATAGCCATCCCCTGTTTGCTAGCACTCTAATGGCAATAACACACTTCAGTGCATAAACTGTACAAAAGAGATGGATGTAGCCACCTTAAACTTACTCACTGGTTTCAACAGCTGTTATAGACTCTAGTTTCAGTCGGGCATAGCTTCTAGATCTGAAAACTCCACAAGTACCTCAAACCAGCATTCTTTTTAATGGCCACTGGGGGGCGATACCTGTTTTGCAAAATGCCTTCAGGTCCAATAGAAATCTATAGGAAAACACTCAGATTTGATCTCTGTCGCTGTGTTAGGGCTCACCACAGTGGGTCATCTCACCCTATCCCCTTTCCTCTGCTCCTCTTTGTGTGCGTAAAAGATGAATGTATGTTTATGTTTATACTTATTTAAGAGGGATAATGCATATTAATTAACAAAACTTCTTAAATTCATGTGTCAGATTTAGCCATACAGGCTAATTTCCCTACAGTCCCTGGATGTTTCAGAGTCTGGAAGGTGAAGCCTAGGCATTAGGGCCTTAAACACAGATATCTGTAGTCATACTGACCAAAACATGACGCCCGTATAAATCTTATCCAGGGACTTCACAAACCTTCATGGCAGAGACTTCATGGCAACTACATTGACCTTTTAGATTACCTGTGGTTTTATTGAACATGACCTCAAATGAGTGACTGAGACAATAAACCCATCAGGGAATTGTTAACTGGGGTCTGAGCCATTTTCCTATAGGACCAATGTCTTTATTCCGCCCCCTGGTGGCTAGAATGTAGGTTGCAGGAACATAAATGTAACAAAACAGAGAACAGAGGAGAGCAGAGAGACCACAACAGACCTTTACACTGAGCTGAAAGGAAACGGGGGCACATAAAGTAGGTAAATATTTTACCCTCTCAAGACATTAAAACACTCAGTAATCTGTTTTTGACAGTCGGATTACAATACACTTAGAGGAGGTATGACTCTCTGTACTCCATCAGATCTTATATAACAAATAGTTGTGTATATGCAGAGCGGCCGAACTACACATAACTAGCTCACTGGGATTGTGTCCATTAAAAGCAATAAGTATTTTGTATTATTTGACAAATAGCTACATTTTACTGTTTTTCTTGACAATTTCATGATCAAAAGTGATGCTTGAGTAAACCAAGATAATAGATAGATAATAACAATGGTATATAGTGCATTGTGTTCAGACTGTAAAAACTGTAGAAAAAAAGGACGAAACTGAGGCTTGAACAAGAAACAAAATATGTTTGTGCGTTTTAGTTAAATTCTTAGCAGTCAGTCTAATTAGTTTGTAATTTTTGGATTCTGACAAGATTAATATTAAACTGAGCATTTTTTTTGATAGAAGTGCACACTTTCTAAATTACAGTGTTTTTCTGCAGCATGAACACTTACAGAAATTTCTCAAACACAAGCTTAGGTCTGTCAGAACCCAGAAATAAAAAAAGTAAATAAAGAGTTTTACAATTTCAAATCTATTACTTTGTTCCTAAGACTTTTATTTAAATTAAAATGTGCATTCAGTGTGTTATGTTTTCATGGAGATAAGTAATTATGGAAATTACGCTTGTAAATTTAATAGCCGTCCTCTTTCATTTCCCATGGTTCTCTGAGAAACTACATTATATTAGTTACGAAGCATTAAATGGAGAAAATGTGCAATCAGGCAGAAAACTGGTCCAAATCAACAACTGCAGAGACGGGTTAAATCAAGTTTCCTGTTTCTCCGCTGCAGTCAGATGAGACTGAGCCCTGTTCATACTCAGTGACGACATAAATCTGAAATAACAGGTGACACATAAATGATTTGTTAGTGTAAAACTCTCAGTAACTCTCTTTAACAGCTGGATGTTAAGCTAATTGCAAACATTAATCAAGTGGGAGTAAATTGGGCTTTTCTTTGCGTATTAATACATTTTTGGTGCAATACAGAGTGTCCTGCATTTGCTCAAAATATTAAAGGAAAACGTTACCCATCATTTTAACAGTTTTGAATAACAACAGTGCTGTATTTGCTGTTTTCTTTACACGTATTAATTCCAACAAATGACACCATCACAAGCCACAAGTGCAGTCTTTATAAAAGTAGCTTAAATTATTGAAACAGCTGTTTTTTTATTTTGTTTTTTTATAATTGCTAAATTAACTGAAAGATTTTGACCACGAGATGGCAGATTTTTCCTCCTATTTACATCTGAATTATTTCTTTATTTAACTTAGTTACGAATTACTTCCAACTATTCTAGTATTTCGATGTGTATTTGCTCATTTTATTTTTAACTTACCAGTTTCTGATCATCTTCTAGGTATAATAGTGACGGGAATTCTGTACAAATGTTGAGCTAATGCAGTGTATGTCTCAGACTGGGAGCTACCCTGACTAGTTATGCTTTAGTCTCTGACTCACTGCACCATCTTGAGGTCAAACGTGGTATTACTCAAAAGTACAGCCAAGCCTCAAACTTCAGCTGATACCTCTTTGACACAATACAGACAGCTTGGCCATCATGTAAATTCAAATATAGCTCTGTGTGCTCTTACAGTAAGTTTTCAGGTGCCCATGTGAACAGAGGGAAAGGTTTCACTTCATCTTAATGTAAGTAACAGGGGACAGAATTTGGTTAGGTTTAACAAGAAGCTAAGAAGCTTTTAATTAAATAAAGTTTTAGCATTATTGTATGAAATTCCCTTTGTATTCCTATCTGCCCTCTGCAGCACTCTGTAAATATCTGCATGATTTTGGTTTAAGTCTGCCGACTGAAGCCTCTTACCAACTTCAGAATGAGCACTGTGGGTTTGTTTCACTCCACTTCCAGTGGAAACATTTCCAATCCAAGCATGTTAATGTTTAAACGTAACTTGTGTAGTAGGAATAACTATAAGGTTTCAGTGTGGGTCCAAACAGATGTCATCTGTGGCTGCAAGAAAGACTTTTTGACCGATAGCCTGTCCTACAAACTGGGGGGGTGGAGTTTAAAAGATATTGGCATTTCCCGGACAGAGAGCGTCTGCTGTAGATTGTATCAAGCTGCTTTACTGGATCTAATTATTTTAGAGTCTGACCCATCCTGCTGATTAAAACTTAGGATATCTCAGCCTCTCCAGCTTCAATCTCAACTGCTTTTGTCTTTTTTTTTTTAATCTGAAGTCCAAAACTTTCTCCAAGTTCAGACTAAATGATTAATATTATTAGTTTTATTCTCAGCACATTTACAATGACTGTGTGTGGAAACCATTATTTAGTACCTAGGCGTAATTTAACAAAACAATTTCTTCATGATCATAGGGATGCCTGGTTCATAAAGGTGGCTGGTATTTTGACCATTATGGAGCGCCAACAAACCCGAATCATGAAATAACTGCCAGAAATCTTTAATTTTTTGATAATGGAGTATTTGTTGAACCTTAAGAGAAAATATATAAAAATATATCAAATTTTAATCTGCAGTTTAGTCATTAAAAATGTGTCATGATTTTACGAGGGTAAAAAAAAAAAATGTCACACTGATGATGTAGAAGTCTCAAAAACTCACAAAAACACTTGTATCAAATACAATACGCTGGGCGTCAAAGGGTTAAAATGCAGTTTTTCATGCTTGATTCCAGGTCAGAGTAGAGGATGCACAACATTAACACATCAAGAGGAGGGATTATGTTCTTGAATCTCACTGGGCTTGCTGCTCACAGTGAAAGGAAGAAAAATCCAGTGCAGCTGACTGCCACTAGATGTCAGCCCTTGATGATGTTAAAAGTTGTTTCTCAGAAGTGTGAACCTCCTTCTCTTCTCCCCCAGTCTCCTCTCTCCCTCCCCCTTCTTCATTCCATCTTTTTTCTCTCTGTCCCTTCCCATCCACTCCCCCCACTCTCTCTCTCTCTCTCTGAACCTCAGAGCGCGCTATATAAAACATTCCTCCACACTCAGATATACAAACACCTCCGTTCCCACCACAGCGCCTCCGAACCCTGCGTCAGAAAAAACCCCAGTACTCACTTGAAGCGTTTGAACAGCAGACACCTGACCCTTCCTGAATGAGCTGGAGAAGACTCCTTTCTTCTCCCGCATCTCTGGACCGTCTTCTTCGCTCTTTATTTCTCCTCAAGTTTGGCAGCTGATAACGGCTCAATCAGAAGGAGATTTGTTTGTTTGTTTGCAGCAGCTGAGAAAATCAAGGACTGTTTGACATGAGGAGAGACGTTCCACAAAGAGTCATGAAGACCACATGTCTGTGGACTGCCACCGTGCTGCTGTCAGTCATCTCTCTGGTGAGTTAAATATTATTTTGATTTGACCTTTTTTAAAATTCTCACATTGTGTAATATCTCTGTGATTAATGTTTGCAGTTTTCATAAAAAGACAGTTCTACAAGTGAGTTTCAATTAAATCATCAAACAAGCTGGAATTGATCATTTTGAGGTCACGTTGCTGTCTCATAGTGTGGCCAATCTAATAATATAGTCATTTCAGACACATGTGATCTGCCTTATAGTACAGTTTTTAAGTCCCAGGATGATCAGTTTTCTAACATATCTATGCATTAACTCATTAACATCAAGATGAATTAACCAATCTCAGCATAAACACAAACTATGCAAATCCAAATCTGCATCTTGACAAATCCACCCGCACACAGTCCCGCTGGATATTTCTCCCTCAGCACTATTCATTCAATCCTTGCTTTGCATTTCCCCCCCTTTTTTTTTTCCTCCCATTTACAGATGTGGTCCAATAAGAATATATTTGGCAGTACGACGGGGAACAGCCTGAGCCCATTATGGCAAACATACCAGAATGCTCCCAACTCAATGCCTTGACAGTTTGTGACAACCCAATTCCTTTAATCCTTGAAGAGACAGTAACCCCTCACCCGCTGATAAATCTGTCAACAAAGCAATCAAAGCAGAACAGGAGCCACTCCTCTCTCTAACAAAAATTCCATAAACTTAATCCCCACAAACTTGACTGGCCTTAAAAAGCTCCCGTGGTGTTATCTGTGTTTAATTTGCATAGTGATGGAAAGAAGTCAATTACTATTAATTATTCTCTACAACTTAATACCCATTATCGAATTGAATTCACCGTCTTGAAAACCATAAACTCAATTTCACAGCTGACTAAGCGCACTAATCATTTCACCCCTCCCACTTTTTTTGGCTTTATGGAGCCCTTCCTGCTTTAAAGGAAAACAATTCATCGATTTCAGAAGCAACAACATTAACAAACACGGATTCCCACCACCCTGTCATGATGTAAAGACAAACAATCATTAACTATGCGAGATATATGTACAACAGCATCATGGTAGTGCGAGTTGATCTCATAGCATCACTTGACAGGAGTGTGTTTTTTTCCAGACTGAGCTGCCAAATTGCTTCGCTATGCTTTAATGGGATGATCATAATTGTTTCGTACTTGGTGCATCCTAAGCTTTTGCCTGCAGCTCCTTCAACAGATTGACAGACCCATGGGAACCTCACAAACTTATTTTGGCCGCCTTTGAACCAAGTCGTGTGTGAAATAATATGATTATGCATTTTTCCTCTGGGTAAGTTGGAAAACTGGTGGCTAGATCCCCCCCTCCTTCTTCTTCAAACTGCCCCCCACCCCACCCCATCCCCCCCTTCCCACAAAATCCCGCAGTCTGTCCGCGTACAGTATTTATCCTCCTCAGAAGTCATGGTAATAATTGTGCCCTGGCCTCTCAAAGCGGTGCTGCAGTGATAGGACTCAGCTCCATCCACAGCTGCCTGTGATGTCTTGACACACTTTGTGATTTGTCATCATCTCTGACCCCCCTCAGGTAACACTTTGATATCACTGAGAGAAAACAGATCTAAACTCTTAGTGGGCGTCAAATGCCCTCAGCTGGTCCATCAGCTCAACTGCGCGGGGACCTCACAAGACGAGACAAGTTAAATTCACTGTAAATGACTATGACGACAAGCGCCCAGTTGGAAAATAATCCAAAGACAGCATCAGCACTCTAAGGACTCTTAAAGTACTCTCCAGTCTACTGTCAAACACAGAGAAGTGGTTCTAAATGGAAGATGATATTTCATAAACCAACTGGTGGGAGTCTTATGTTAGAATTGTCTGTGATTCATGGCGTCTAAAAGTTGTAAATTAGATTAAAAATAAGCTTTTATAGAGACTAGTCTCACACCTGAAAAGTCACAGGTCTGATCCTACAACATCCACATGTCCTTCAGCCAAACCCTAACCCTTTAATAGCTGCTCATATTTTAAGCTTCTCTCCATAAGAGCATCACTTTAATACCTTAAATTTAAAAAAAATAAAAATAAAGCTGCAGGGCTCCCTTTTCCAAACTTTTTTAAAAAGGACGTTCTCTAATACAACTTTATATAAAACACTCATGATCATCTTGTAATTTTCTGCTGGACTTTAACATTATTACATCACAGTCCTGATCTTCTTTTTTCCCCCCCCCAATCTTGGGTTGGTGACCCAGCCAACAGGTCTTTGCTTTTCTTTTCTCTGATGCTCAATACTTTTACCTTTTATCACAGAAAATATTTAAATCTGAGATGACTTGAACTGCTCACAATTCAAATATGCATCACAAGTAGGGACCGGTTTGTTTTAAGGTTAGGAACTAGTCTTTTAAGGCAGGGTGAACCACAACAACCACACCTTTGATAAAAAAGGCAAATGAGTGCAAAATAAATTCCATCTTTTTGTTGTTTATTAAAATAGAATAATGATAAATCGCTATCTGTTAAGCAGCAGCTCTAATGTTGCGGCTGAACTCACAGCACCTAAGCAAGATTTAAAAGTGGAAACCCACATCTGCCATCAGGCCGGCCGCTCTCCATTCTCCCTCTGTTAAACCAGAACTGTCGTACCCACAAATCCTCCCCGCACAGCAGTCGCAGCAGCAGCCGCAGCATTCAGGTAAATGAAAACTGACACACACTTTCATTCTTCCTCACAAGGTTTTGTGTACAGCCCACCGCAGAGTCATCTGGCTCCTCCGGTAGTTCTATTAAAGGTGGAATTTGTTGGCTGTTCGGCGGTCCAGTCCCATAGAATATCCTCCGAGCTCCCGAGGGAACGGGGGGGTTGTTTATCTTCCTGTTTCAAAGAGCGGACGCCTGCGCCTTATCACAGCCTCGCCAAGAGTAGATAGCATTTAAGTTGTCCAACAGCCTGCCTATATGCTGCATCTGGCAATCAGAGTCGTTTCCTAAAGGACTTGTGCATAGCGATGCTGTTAGCGTTATCTTGTTGAGGGATTCTGCCTCATATGCCGAATCTGGGAATTATATTAACAGACAGTTAAATGGGGTTTGGGGGGGGGAGGGGGTGGGAGGCTCCTGCATGACAAACTGTAAAACGAAAAGTTGGGCTATGAAATAAAAGCATCTGAACGTGACTGAAAGATACAGTATCTCTGAATGGAAACACTGCATTTAATATATATTTCACAAAGAATTTTTTTTTTACTGCAGATTTTCCTCAAGGCTTTGACTGACTTCCCTTTATATATTTAAAATATTTTTTTAGCCTCCATCAAGGGGGTTTGGAAGAAAAGCAAGGAGGGTTTAACTGGTTTAAATTATGGGAAACACAGACGCTACACAGATATTGCAGACAAAGCTTCACTCTCCTGAGTCCTCAGACTTTATGAAATTGTAGTACACAGTTAAATCTGCTGATAGGCAATATCTCTTATTTTTAGTTTTAGCTATTTTTAGATTTGACTATAATATTTTAATAACTTTTTCAAAATTATCAACATCTTTTCCAACCATTTTCAGCTACAGTTTTAGATTTTTAGCCATCGACTTCCCTTATTTGTGTGCTGCTGGAAAATGTATCAGCAAAACCTTAAAACCTAATTTATTCAATTGTTCATCATAGTCCATTACTAATTATTATTATATAACTAACTAACTAACTAACACTGAGCTTTAAACGATTACGTCTGATATCCTGAATTATTTTTATCATTAAGAAATCCCACGCAAAGAATCACTCAAAAAACTGAAAGTTGACACATTTGGTGATGTAGTGTTTGTTTCCAGCAGCGGGATGGTGTATGTGGGGTTTGCCCAAAATAAACCTGTAGTAAGGAAGAGAGAAATGAGCCAGTGAGGCAGGATGGATTTTAATAGTTTGTGGACAGAGGACTTGTCAGTGGGATCGGTTCATTGTTGGCTTTGGTGTTTTTGCAGGATGTTGACGAGGAGGACAATGTAAAATATGGGACCCACTCTATACAAGTGTTTGCTAACAGATAGTATTATAATATATGTCATATAACAGACAGTCAATAGTCACATATTAAAATATCTAAAATAAATAAATGCTAAATTATGTGAACATATATTTTTTTTACATACTTTACAGTTATGTAATATTTCTGTCTCAGTTGTTTTTATTTTTCATTATGAAAACTCGTTTTTAAAGGCAGAATAATTTATTGTATATATTCTGGTGATATTTGTAAATTATAGATTGTCTAAGATTTGTTTTTAGTAAATTTAACATACTTTTATCCAAAATGTTCCAATATTATTATTATTTAATTTGAAATAATACTGCTCTTTGTCTTCTTGAGGAGTAGTAGATGGTGTTACTCAGCACTACTGGGAGCAATGGTCTCATAGATTGTAAACATTAGTTATGGGTATCTTTATGATAACTACCCAGTATTGTCATTCACATATATTTTCTTGGTTTTTTGGCATTTTAAAAAGGCATTTCACAAAATTGATGTGAGATTTTCAAATTACTTTTCTTAAAAATGTTGTATTTACAAATTGATTTTAAATAGCTGAACTAATTTTATGTTCAACTATTTTATTATTCAACTAATCTTTAATATAATTTCTCTATAAAAGCTTATTTTGGTTGCAAGTCAGTCTAATGAACGTCTTTAACTTTATGTCAGACTTTAAGATTTGCAAAACCTTTGGCACAGTCCTTTGCAGCAGTCGTTTCCACATTGGGGGTGATGACCTTCTAAATGGGTGACAGCATACATCTGAAATTAAACAAAGGAAGACAAATGTGTTGATTTTTTTCAGATTTGGATTTAATTTTGTTTTTCATTCACGTAATATCTGATAGTCCTGCATTTAAATGATGATCAGTTCCTTCTGTTGATTGAAGCCACACTTGGAAACAAGCGTCTCAAGTGGCTGCCTCTTCGTTTTAGGGTTGTGAGCCACTGCTTTGCTAATAATAAACACAAGTTAAGTGCAAAATAAACTCCATCTTTAGTCATGAGCAATGTTATTTGTCATTTTGATATTTCACAGTACACAGTAGTGACAAACCAATATCTGGTAAAGCCAAAGCCATCAAAGTGTGACTGTTGACCTTTACGCTGCCATGTTTGTTTGTCTCTTTCTTCTAGTTTCGCGCTTTATTCTCTGTACTATCTCTTTCAGGCACATTCATGCATCTAGCACACACTCCCTTTGTGCCTCACTTGCATGTTTTTAAAGCCAAGTAGAGGTAAATCTTGGCCCTCCGAGTGTTGGTGCAGTCAGTCGGGGGGTTCTGGATATAAACGTTGCTTTAGTCAGGACTGCCTCTGATCTGCCTAATCTCCCCAGGCTGGATTACAGGTTGGGTTCTAATCCGTGAAGTGGGGTCTCTGTGAATGTGCCTCCGAGTGCTCTAATCCAGAGACTGTCAGGTGCTTTAGATGAAAGCTAATTGCATGTCACAGTATGGGGACCAGACATAACGCTGGTGACAACAGAGCAGAGTTTCCACAACAAGGAATTAGGTCTGACGATGACTGGGCACGCACTTCAGATGCGCTGTGTAATTTTGATAATCTTGGAAGAAAATAGTAAAGAAATCCCTCAAAAAAAAATCTGATTCCAGTGACACATCCTCTTAGAAAATTATTCATAACACGAAGTTGCAGGAAATCATGAAGCTTTTCAAAACTCACTGAGTGCAATTTAATTTCCTGGTTGAAGAAACGATAAAGATCCTAAACCCGCTTGGATTTTCATTGTTTGGAAAATATTCTTTACATTTACTCCTCAAAATTCTGCAGCAGCAGCTGCACAAGCGCACGCACACACACACGCGCACACACACACGCGCACACACACACGCGCACACACTTTGAGTTATTAGCTAGACAGGCATTTAACCAAGCAGTTTGCTAATATCCCTTGATCTGGTTTTGGGATTCCACTGAGACTGAAACTGAGTAACTGAGAAGCACCAGTAATTACTGCACTCTGAAAATGATATTTCATTTGATCATTAGAGACTACAGTCTTTTAACAACTCAGAATAGAAAAATTAATGGGCTTTACAGTTTGGATTACTGGCCAAAGGTCATTTAGACTCAATTAATTCTTTTTCTTTACTACTGGAAGCATCTTCAAATAAATGTATGTTTAAACTGGCCTTGGTTCAAGTCTAACCAAGTCACTGGTTTTCCTTAGAGGGGAAAGCTCCAATGATTTTAGTCTTGCACTAACGTAATCCTTATTTACTTCCTGTTTATTTTTGCTCATTTATGGAGCAGCCCCTCATTTAATTCACTGTCTGAAACAAGCTACTGGCTAAATAAGGGGAACAAAACATGTGATGACAATCATACACGACTCTCTAAACATCTCAGCCTTGATATCAGAGTATCTGCAAATAAGGTGTTGATTTCTCATGTAGCTCAGTGGTGTTTTTCCACAGTTGGACCAGCTAAAAGACTTTGAAATGGTTTAAAATTGTATATACAGTATATATTTTATGTTTCTAAAGGGAGATAAATATAACATCAAAACATACTGAGCCAATCGGCCAATGATTACTGGCCACTTAACAATCAGTGTTCCCCTAATTGTTATGGCTGAGGCTGCATATCCACATAGAACTGGTAAAAATTTACACACTGCTTGCATAGCTTGAAGCAGACCTACTATGCTCATTTCTGATACACGCTACTATTCTTGGACTCTGCTAAAGTATCTTTGCGTGCTTCTCAGCTGAAAATAATAATTTACTCCCAGTTCATTCATAGTCGAAAACAAGCTGATTTAGCACCTTTCCCTTACAGGCAGTTTTATTTTGATTGGTTTTCTCTGCTGAACATTAGATGTGAACGGCAGCACCTCTGTGCACATAGAATGACCAAATAGAGCTCAACACTGAGGTTCCAGGGAAAAAAACAAAAGACATTCTCCATAGGGAGTTTGATTATGAGCCATAAGGTTATAACCATCCAAAGCAGACCTGTTACGAGGTGCAACATTGTGAAATAATAATATGTGCTTCTGTAGAAATCACAAGTCTATATGATAAGAACCTTGTTTTAATAAAAATGTATTTTATTATTTTATGGAAAAAGAACTACCCTACCTGCAATCTTAAATTCAGACAGTGATGTCTCAGATTGGTGGAGGTCGCTGTTACCATGGAAATGTTCAACCCATGAAAGTCGGGTTGCTAAGTGAGCGCAAAACTTCTGAAACTGCAAGAGCAGTGGTTGCAGTGAGGAACAAAGCACTGTAACCCCCCACACATGCACCGCAAACTGTAGATATATATTCAAACTTACACTGTTATTAACCATACCGACGCTATAGTAAAGGATTAAACTTAAAAAGGCTGACAGTCATTCACTGTGGAATCTGGGATTTGCAGTGGGCATTGGGATGAGTAGTTCCTAAATCGTTAGAAGTAATCATGTATCTTTGTAATTATGTAATTATATCATGCACTTTTGACTTTTGCTAAAATCAGAATTATGTTTTTATGGTCATGATTTACCTCATAACATAAAAGTCTCCTGACAGTGGAGAAAAGTGGACAGTCACTGTTGCGCTGTATAAGAAATCCACTCTCAATGACATCATGCAGAGGTTTAAGTAGAAAAACTGCCTTTAACTGAGTGTTTTGCAGTGCTCATTTTGACAGCAAATTTTGATCTAGTTTTAATAATTCTTTTGACTAACATCTCATTAAGTTTTATTCATAATTTAGGCATCTGAATTCATTTAGTTTTAGTTGACCAACTATCAGACGATTACTTCCAAAGTTGATTCAGTTGACAGTTTGTCATATTTTTACCCGTGAGAGCTTCTCCACATGGCTTACAAAGAGTCTTATTTTCTAAATGGGAAATGTGTCATATGTCTACTGTTCGCTTCTTCCCAAGCGTTGACATTTTGTCCCATTTTCATGAAAAACAGGAAGAATGAGAGCTACCTGTACGATTACAAAGACAGAAAAAAGAAGAGGCTGTACCGTTTCCCTGGGGCAGATCAAATGTGCGGATCAACCTCACTGCACAAGCAGATCACTTCCAAACTGGTCCCGCCTTTCTATCCGGCTTAATTTTAGTTCAGATTGGATCCCGTCTCTCCAGAATATTTTCATCTTATTTGCATTTGTCGGCAAAAGTGCCAATATCGTTTTTGTCCTCATGCATCAGTTTTTATTTAATTTATGTTTTTGTCAGAAAAAAAAAAACAACAACTTGTTGCTGAAAACTATGATGACAAGTTTTTAGTTAACAAATGTAACACTGGTGTTCAGAGCAGTGTGAAGACTGAGGTTTTGGCTCACTAGGGTTAGCTGGACATATTCTGACCTCATCAACTGAAACTTTGGTCATGCTTAATATGAAAACCCACCTTTGTAACAATAAGTATGAAAGTCTTGAATAAAAAACATTAGTGCTTTTAAACTTAACAACTGAAACAAGAGCAAACCTAGAATATTCTTAAACCAAAGAAAAAGGACTGAACTATAATGGCATAATAGACTTTACAGCTCCCTGGCTGACAGTCTGTAAGATACTATTTCACTGAACTTTTACATCCTAAGGAGCTTTATGTTTGACTATAATGGTGCCAATAAATCCTGGAAAGGAAGTCTCCCTCATCCTCACACTCACTTTATCTTTTCACAATGCATCACCACTGACAGACTTTTGTTTCCAGCAATGAAAGACAAAAAGGGCTGTTCATTAATGTGGTTTAACTGCCCCACTGCGCAGGGAAACTGCTGAAATTCAAATTTTTCTCTTCACCTTGTCACGCTAAACATCTTGCTGCGAGGTTCTTGCATTTTTCCCTTTATACTTATTAAAACTAACTAGAAGCAAAGGTCTAGCTACCTTTGAACCTCTGCTCAATATAAAGGTATTGATTTGACTCTGGAGTATCATGTTGCTTTTAAAAAATTCTCTGGCTACATTCCTTTATTCAGAGAGGCAGAAAGATCACAATGCCAGTAACGCTTCGTTCACATCAGGTCATTCATCAACAAGGCCTCTTCAAAACAACTGGAGGCCATCCTTCCAAACTCCTCCATTCTCAATCCAAGTGCATAAAATGAGCAGGAGCTTCAGAGAAAGATCTCAGCACTTGCAGTTTACTCAGAGAGTGCCGTACAAACTCCAGCTTACACTACAACAATGTCATTCAGTGAACTTTCTGAATGAGAGACGACCTTATTTTCAGCATATTGATCGTGGGTGAAGGTACAAAATGTAAACGCTTCGACCAGATAGATCTGCTGTCACGTTCCTCGGACGGGGCTTGGACATCACTGTCACAAGCCTCTGTGGGGTGCGCGGGAAATCTTTGCTCTCTCATCTGTGTGATTGTTAGAGGAGAGAGACAGAATGAATCATCAATCATCCATTCAGGGTACATTCAGCAGGTAATAGTCTGCTGTTGCATCACGTCTGCTCCTGAGAAGCGCTTCATTCGTCTCGATGTATGACAGGAATAGCCTTAATCTTGATAAGGACATTTCACACACTGTAAGACTTTCTCACAGCGTTAAAACCGTTTTTGACAGACGTATTTGTACATGGATAATGTGCATAGATTTGTTGATGTTTTCCTGCATTTGCAAAGGATATTCATTTTGATCTTGTTAGCAAGCACTCAGCACGAACACGTCTACTCGAAGCTGTTGCTAGGCAGACTGCTGATATTGGACGACTCTACGAGAACCTGGATTATACTTAATAAAAACATTTTAATATATTCCTTTAATAAA